TGTCAACAAAGATCTCTCCAAAAGTCCCTTCTAATTATTCAAACAATCTATTTATACAGTTCCTCTACCTTCTATCCTAATCCCATTTCCCATTATACCCTTATATCCCAAATACCCTATATCCTAACACGATCTGTGATTGCTTAAAGTTGACAAGGTCAGTGATTAAATGGTTACGTAAAAACTGTCATTACTTCAGCAATGAAGGACTGAGGTGGTTCCTTTACCACCTGGAACATGAATCACATAATTAAGTTCTCTTATATGGAAGCACACCATTATACACCTGTATGATAGTTTTGTTATCGATAACTCTATTAGCATAGATAGATTGCCATGGGGAAAAATGTAAATTCAATCATGGTGTTTCTGTGACACAATGCATTCATTTTGTATTAAGGCATGGTTGATATGGTAAGCTTTCTTCTTTTGCTAGCACAGGCATTGCAGTTTGTAAAACAGCTTGGAGATGCACTGCATTCTATAGGCTCAGAGAACATTAGTGGCCAGAAGCTGCAGTTAGTCTATGTTATAGGTCCACCATCTTCCGAGAAACTGCAAGAGCATGACTTTGGTCCTAAAGATCTTGAGACTTTAAGTGAAGCTGTAGATGGATTCTCGTTAATGACATATGATTTTTCTAATCCTCATAATCCTGGTCCTAATGCACCTTTGAAATGGATTCAAATTGTTCTGAAGCTGCTTCTTGGTAACTCTGGCAGTAGAGCCCAAAGTCTTACCCCCAAGATACTTCTCGGCCTCAACTTCTATGGAAATGATTTCTCCCTTTCAAGAGGTAATTGCTTTGTTTCTTATCCGTGCATTTTTTGGTATGAGGGAATAAAGGAGTTTGGGTACCAGAACTAAAATGTCTAATTTCACGGTGGCAATGTGGAATACACACACATAGGTACTTTAACCGCTGAAGTGGTGCTTAAGAGACCCCCACTGGGAAACCAAGGGGGATCGAGAAAGGAATGTGCTCCATTTGATTAGAGTGATATTTATATGAATTTCTTATTGCTCTTGAGTGGAACAAGAACACCTTTTTTAGTCATTTTGATGCTTTGAGATCATCTTAGAGTTTTTCGGAGGTATTATTATGCAAAAACTTTTTTCTGTTTTGCATATTAGTGAAATTTGCTAGTGCAGATGCAGGTGGTGGTGGAGCTATTATTGGGAGAGATTACCTGGCACTTTTGGAGAAGCATAGGCCTGAACTGCAGTGGGATAAGAATAGCGGGGAACATTTTTTCATTTACAATGACGACAAGGATATCAGACACGCGGTATTCTATCCATCTTTGAAGTCAATTTCTTTGCGGTTAGAAGAAGCTCGTTCATGGGGATGTGGCATCTCGATCTGGGAAATTGGCCAAGGTTTGGATTATTTTTTTGATCTTCTGTGAAACCCATACTTTCAGAAGTTTTATTTGAGGAAATTTGCCGTTAGTTCAGATACAACTTGAAAAGATACGATGATGTCATATCAAAAATGGTTGGGTAGAATTATGCTCTAAAAACATATTTACTTGTTTTTTATTAGTTGTCTCAATTATTAGTTGTCTCAATTATATATAATCTATCGTTTTTTAATTTCGACAAAAAAAAATAAATCTTTTTCAATAGTTGTTTCTACTGAGATTATTTAAAGTGTGAGCAAATATGACTAGGTTTGACTTATTTAATCTGTTTGTGATAATTACATTATTTGAGTTGGAACAATTGTCTTTAATGGCCCTGGTCTCCCATTAAATTCCGAAATTGAGATAATACGTTGTTATCATCCTGAATTAAGGTGGGAAGAAGGGAGTGTGGGGTCAAGGGAATAATATGGTTGAACTATGTTGGTGGGAATTCATCGTTTGTCATTCTAATTTTGTTTGCAAATATCATTAAAATATGATTTCATTAATTAATCAAACTTTAACATTTATTTAAGGCTTAGGGTTTATTACATTTATTGTTAGTTATAATTAGGTTTAATGTCTCGGTAGGTCCCTATTTTCGGCGTGAATCTCAAATAGGTCCCTTTTCTTTTCGGCGTCTCAATTGGGTCCCCATTTTTGTAAAATTGTAACAATTAGGGGTCTGCCGTCAAATTGGACAAACGGCCGTTTAATTGTTGCTTACGTGTCAGATGGGAATCATGCCACGTGTCATTACTGAAAACACTGTTCATGCCACGTAAGCAACAATTAAACGGCCGTTTGTCCAATTTGACGGCAGACCCCTAATTGTTACAATTTTACAAAAATGGGGACCCAATTGAGACGCCGAAAAGAAAAGGGACCTATTTGAGATTCACGCCGAAAATAGGGACCTACCGAGACATTAAACCTTATAATTATTAAAAAGAAAGTATCATTTTTCACTATTTTTATCTTAATTATAATATCTTCAATTGGACAAGGTACATCATTTTAAATAGAACTAAATGTTTAAAGAAAACTTTATTAATACACTTTTTATTTAAAAGCGTTTTAAAGCCAAGAAAAAGTTCAACAATTTTTATAACTTTTCAAATCTGATTGGGCAATTTATTTTGCAATCTTTCGTTAAAGAATATCTATTTATCTCTTACTTTTCATTAGTTTTAATGCTACTTTTTAAGGGTATTTTCTATTACATGGCTATTTGATTCCAATCATTGCGATTGCAGATAGTTCATCAATCTATTTTATTTCACTCCAAATACCATATAATATGATTACAAAACCTTGATATAATAGCATTCCTTGGGCGTACAACATGAACTAGCCAACAGACTTGCAAATCTGCAATTACAAATAAAAGTTTTCAAAACTTAAACGAGTTTAAAAAATAACTTACCCACTACACGAAATATTATTTCATCCATAAACAAACAAAACAAAAAGACTGCGGATAATAGAGGGAACAAAAATCGTCTTCTATTGATTGATAACTTCGATTCTGTTACCTGCAATTCTTTTAAAAGTTCCTTGGAGGCCATTTTGCGAGCTGTATCCTTATTAGAAGCCTTTGCAGTTCGCGTGATCCTGTTAGCTTTCACCTCAATTATAAACAAAATTTCTTCGTTTTCACGGACAGGGGGGTGCTCGTGCTCTGTCAATTTGTATTGATTTTTCTGGCACAGTTCTTGCAACTCACAAATAGGATGTCGCTTCGCTGTTTCAGGTGTGACAAGTGGTTCCAAAAGGGGTCTTATGCTTTTGAAAACAAACTCTTTCTTGTATCCTGAATCAACAAAAATCGCTCCTGCTATAGACTCTATAACATCTGCAAGCACCTGACATAAATTGAAAGAAAAATGCACCTAATACAACATTAAACTTCATATTCTATTCAATACAGACTTGTAACATTTTGTATGTAGTTATAAACAATGAAGACCTCACATGAATGTGGTAGTAAAGTAATGTGAATAATAATGAAAAATGTTGGGATTGGAAGAAGTCATGCACTGAAATATTAAACAACTAACCGGACAGAAATATGTTTCTAGCTCCCATCCGAAAGTTGAATCCAAAGATAAATTCTCAACACCTTTCATTGTCTTCTCAATGTTCTTTGCTACTACGGGGTCACAGAGTATGTGTTCGTGAAGCTTAGCTTTAATGGCTGACAGTGCGTAGCACTCATTATTCGCAGAAATAGACCTCATGGTAGTCAGAAATCCCGGTGAAAAATTTTCATTGACATATTCCCCGTAGAGATGCATCGTGATCAAATTGTCCAACACTGCGTCGCCAAGAAATTCTAGTCGCTGCAGAGCATGTTAAGAATTTATCAGATATGCAGTATTGCAAGGTCTTCCAAATTTGATGGAAAGAGATAAATAAAATGGAAAGAATTACAATAAAATGTAGAATTGAATGGGGTGAAATGAAACCTTTATTCCATTGTATGATCATGTTACGATAGAATGGACTAAATTCTGTACCGACATACTTCATCCAAATTAAAAGAAAAGAAGAGAAAAAAAAAAGAACATAAACAGTGAAATTTGAAAAAACAAGTTTCACACATTTCCATATCCCTGTAAATTTACCAATCAGAGCAATGAAACGAAGCTTTATAGAAGAAAATAAAAAGATAAAACAAACTGAGCTTCTGTCTTTAATAAAAACAACTATATACTTCTTTAAAAACTATCGCATTTAACTCCCTGCAAACTGAAACTGAAGTGCATACTTCTGTGAGAAAATCCAATACAGTTTTTATTTTTACTTTCTTTCTTAAAAGTCTTTATTAAGAAACAAGACCACAATACTATTATATTTTATTATTATTTTTTCATTCCATCCTCTTATATACGCTAAAGTTGTCATAGTATATCATCCTTCTAGCTAGTATGTAAATAATCATGACAGTACCTCATAACATGTCCGAATTTCTGGTCCTTTGTAAGAACCGTGGGTGAGAGCCTCTACTAAAAGGTAAGGGTCTTTAAACTTATAATTCAGCACAGATTCTAAATCTTTGACTTTTACAAGATTCTCAGGGTCAATGCTAAGGTGCCTCTCATAAGGCTTAATGTTGGTGTCAACCTCGATTCCAAGCCAATTAATAAACGATAAAGCTGATTCTTCATCTTCTGTGCTTATAAAGGCACCAATTAATGCCTCAACGACATCAGCAACCTTTTTGAGTTCTATTTTTCTCTTTCTACCAACATACATGCTAGTTCTTCCACCGCAAACCAACCCTTCTTCTAACAAGAGACTCTTCGACTTATCGCCAGGTATGATCCACTTCTTTGGATCAAATGCTTCCATTCGTATGAAACCCTGCAATATGTGAACAAGGTTTCCATTTGAAATTCTTTTCAAAAATAGGGCCGAAAAATAGAACCAGGGATAACTTCAATGGTAGTTATATGAGATTTCAAAAGGTTATTTTGACAATACGGACACAAGCACTGTTCAAGGATTTGTATAGTTTGGCCGATCTGAAAGTATGTTAAGGCACATTCCTTACTAGTAAATTAGTTTACTTCTTTTGGAATAGTCTGAAATATAAGAAATTACAATGATAAAGAAAGTCAATACAAAATGTTAAACAATAAACTATAATTACTATAGTGGATTCTTCCCTTTTGTACTAATATACAAGTGCAAGTGCTTGAAATGAAGCTTATATTGAAAATGTAAGAATAAGAAGAAAGAGGCAAAACATAATAGTGTACCGGAAGATTTTTGTCAGAAGCAAATTTACGCAAGGCAACATTGGAAATGACTTCTTCCTTGAGCTTGGAAAGGGTACCCTCTCGATCGTTTTGACGGGTCTTGAAAAGCTGTTGACTAACAGCGTATTTTAGAAAAGAATCTCCAAGTGTCTCTAAGTTTTCGTAATTGTACGCCTCTTGACATCCCTTTGCAGTTATTGCTTCGAATACCTACAATAACCATGATAAACTTTAACCGAAAACTTCATTATGATGTACTTTTTTCTAATTATATTAGATTTTTCCCCATGATATTTTAATCTGTATGATAAATAATTTTATTAAATATATAATGTACTATCAAAATAAAACTTTAAACTCTGAAGAACAATATTATTAATATAACACAACATATGGAATAGTAATCTATATATATTTTTTAAATAATTTGTTTCTATTTCTTTTCCAATATAAATAAAATATGTATCAAAATTAGGGTTGTTTGTCAAAATAGATGTAAATACTTGAATCATCTTAGCTCACAATCGGTTAAATATAGGTTGAATTAAAAAAAGAATATGAATTTTAAGTGTGGATTAAATTTAACTTGATTCATCTAATCTACTTATCAAATAAATTCAAATCGGATTGAAGGTCACCCACCAAACAGCAACTCATAATTTTTTTCATTATTTTTTTATTATAATTAATTACTACTTTTAATTATGTAGATTCACACTTTGTTTTTCTTTTTTCTTTTATTATAATTATTGAATAGTTTGTATGCTTGATTTATTCGTTTTCCTAGCTATATAATTTAATAATTTGATGTTTGCTTCCTATCTTTATAATCTTACTTTCTAATTATGGTTAATGTTTAATAAAAATCGATAAACACTTTGATTTTTATAAGAAAATTAAGTCAATCTACTTTAATTATAATACAATAAAAAATATCAAAGAAGCTAAGAGCATTAAATAAATCAATCTACCAACTCCTAGTGAATTACACTATCTCATTACAGATCTTACTAATTAAGAAGTTAGATTAAGTTGACTTTATTAAATATTTAGTTTTCTTGATTTTATAAGGAATGAGGGTATAGTAGATAATAAAGAAGATTATTAATAGTTTTGTTAAAATCAATTACCATATTATACCTCCAGGCTTTAACTTTATCATATACCCATTACAACCATCATGTATAAGCCCTAGTTACAACCAAAATCTAGCCATAAAGATTACCAAACGTATCAACAAAACTTAAGAAAAAAAGTACAAAAGCATATAAATTCTTAAGATGTTAAATATTCTTATTTTCTGTTTAATTTTCATGTATTGAGATCACCCTTAACTCTTATCTTACTAACCAATGAGTTTATTACCGTTCACAGGATTTAGAATCGGAACCACAAGACAAAGATTGATATATACATGTCTCGATATTACAGTGAAATTTCGAAAAGTGGAAAGGATAGCAAAAATCCTAATAACTTAAAGTCTATGGTGCAAATTTAACAATAAATGTTTTAAGTTATGCAACAAAGTGGCATAACTCTCCTAATTTTTGTTCTAAGTATTTAATATTAGTTTGATATTAAACTATATTTCACACAAAAAATGTTAGGTTTAAATTGGTTTTCTTGTGTTATATACCTTTTTATTTTTTTAAGTTTGATAAATTCATCAACTTTTAATGGGGCATACTAGGTTAAAAAAAGTTTTAACTTATTAAAAAATGAATCAAAATTAAATTAACTATTTTTAATTCAACATATAATGAGTCAGTCCAATTTCTCGGAACCAAATTGGTTCATTTTGACTCTATATTCCATATACTTAGTATTTTCTTTTCTAAATCTAAATTATTCTCATAATGAGAAATGGTATCAATATTTTCATTAGTATTTTGATTCCATTCATAATATATATATATATATATATATGTGTGTGTGTATATATATGAATCAAATAAAGATAAAGATATCATTAAAAATAATAACTAGTGTTCCTTTGAATTTGTAAACAGACAATAAAAATAAGTTTTCTTTTAAAAATAAATAGATAAGAGTTTTTTTAATAAATATGACATCATATTCGTGCTCATCAAAGACTGTAGGCATAAACAATCTTGAAAAGACTAAATATGAAAATGCTTTAAATCTTTATATATGATAATTTACAACTGTCCAGTAAATCAAATTAAGAGATTTTTTAAAAGAAAAATGATAAAATATTTTTAAATTGAAAAAAAAATCTGTTCTTTTAAACTTGCCAGATTGGCTTTCAAAAATATTATATTGTTTTAAGCTTATCCAATTAAACCATCGGTATGAAGTTCGTATTCTGTTTTCTTCACTTTTGGCAAATCAGCATTAATCTCAGATTTTCAGCAAATTCTTCACTTCTAACATTGAAGGACTAAGAATTAAGGAAAGTTTATTTGGCTGTTCAAAAGCATATTGCGTTCCAGTTTCGAACATTCTCTGCATAATGTGTGGAAGTATTTTAATTCATAAGAGAAAAAAAAACATTATAAGTCCGAACTATCTAATTTGTTCTCATCAACTTAGACATGAAATTGTCTCCTAGAAGTGAATCGTGGTGATCAATGTAAAAGTATAATCATGTGTAATTATAAGCATTTTTGACAGAAAGAAGTGGCTTACCTTGATGATTGGGATATCATTTTTTGTGCAATGATCCAAGAACATCTTTTTAAAGTTGAAAGCGACGAGCAAGCCCTCAAGCCAATGCATGATTGATGGCATAAAAGAAAATGAATATACGGTACCAATTGATATTGGTGACATGATTACGGAACAAAGTTCTGGCGGCAATTCTTCAGAACCCATTTTTTCTCCTAGTGAAAGGGGTCAAAAAGTTTGATCAGGTTTCTTGATATTTGTAATAAACTTGCTCAAATGCCATTTTAACAGCTTCAATATTATACACGAGCAAGTAATGTGACAACTTAAACTACATAAAATAGAATCATGCTAATACATTGTTAATAAAACATCATGGTCAGCACATCCCGAAAACAATGCAGAGATGTTTTAATTCCTCGGAGGAAAGTAAGACGATATCCAGACAAATTTTTCAACAAAGATTTTTAAGAGAAAAAATGAATAAATGAAATAAATTTTCTTATGAATTAACTCATAGAAGTCCTTTTATATAGTTTTTTAAAATATTTAAATAGGATCAGCTTTTATACCTCTGTAACAGTGATGGACATTGATTCTGTTGTAGCTTAATACATGACTAGAAACAAGAACCACTTGTAATGTTTTTTGGTAATGAGTCACATAGCAATACCAGGAACTAAAGTATATGAAAAACAAATATGTAAAAGTAAATAACAGGAACCTTTATTCTTATTTTTCCTATCCTTCAAAAGGTAATTCCCGACTTCAAAAACTTTCCTTCCACGAAGTAGAGATTGTTCTGGAAAACGCAAATCAATCCCGTGCCTGAAATTTGGAACAAAAATCGAAATCATTCTTGGTGCTCAAGGTTTGACATCTAAGACACAAGTATATAAGTAAGCTAAAAAAATTTACTTGTTTTTGAAGTGCTCCTTGTATGTGGCAGTTCCATGACGACCAAGGTGTCGTAGTGTTGAGTTGCCATTCAAATCCCATATTATAGGAGTCATGGTATAGAAAGACTTACTATGAGGAGTGTAGACAACACAGTTTTCAAGTTTGCAAGAGCAAACTGAACCATTTTTTATCCTCACGTCACATGCATGATCCTTGCAATTGCAATCACATGTACTTGCTGATGAAAAAGGAAAAGATTTTACAGACTTCCAATCAATAATTGAATTTGAAGGACTCTGGTGTTCAACTGTGGCTGGGAGCAGAAGATAATCAAATTCAGGATTATCTCCGAAACTGAAATTATCTGAAGCACTTGGTAACTCGTTTTCGTCCCGATTCAGCAGGATCCTAAACAGGGTAGTCTGAAATCTTCTACATTGCTCAACCTTGAATATGGAGATAAATAATATCAATAAACATTACAGAAAAAGCTGTTTATATTAATTTTTTTATCAATAGATACAATATTAGTCCCTAAACTATTGGCCGTTTCTGGTTTTCGTCCCTCTTCCAAAGTAAGGTACAATTTGGTCCTCATTCTTTAGAAAAACGTTCGTTTTAGTCCTCAAAATTTTGTTTTTAGTCCTCGTTTTAGTCCTCAAAACGTTCGTTTTTTCAACTAAAACGAACGTTTTTTAAAGATTGAGGACTAAATTGTACCTTACTTTGGAAGAGGGACGAAAACCAGAAACGGTCAATAGTTTAGGGACTAAAAACATATTTAACCCATTTTTTTATCAATAGAAACAATATTTAAAATATATCATAATTATAAGTTTCTTAAAATAAAATAAAATAAAAATAAAACAACTTATTTCAATTGACGGAACCATATGCAATAACTCTGAGGACATGTTTGGCAAATGAGATTTGGACGGCAATAGATTCTAAATATAAATCACTAGATTACGCGTGATTGAGAGTCCGAAATAAATATGACTATTAAATATTCTTTTAAAATTTAATTTTGTATTTATGATTATTACACATCACACATTTTTTTTTAAAAAAGAATCGCTGTCATTTAGTATACTTCAATTTTATAAAAACGGTTATAAAAATAAGGCTCACTGTATCAAGTTTCATAAAAAAATATCAACGCTTAAATATTTAAAATTTTAAAAATATAAACATTAATAATTATAACTTATAAAGTAACATACATTCTTGGCAGAGATAATTTATGCAAACGAAATTTAATATGACATCAAAAAGATCAGAAGATGTAAACTCACACACCTCTTCAGGGCTAAGTTGAATGCGTTTGGCAGGCGAAAGGTTGAGTGACAATTTTCCCCTTTCAACAACAAATGATGTGCCTGATAATGCGTCTATGATTTGGGGGTCAAGTTCAGACCTAATTGCAAGTACAATGTCACGAACGAACACTTCATACTTGTAGTCCTGCTTCAACTCCATCAAATAGCAATAGTATTGGTACGTCACATTGTAAGCTTTTGATGAACAATTCACCAGTTCTGGTGGGACATAACAGGGGTGCTCGTTTCCTACTCAGAAACAAATCCGATGTTTAACCACCAAGAACGAACTAATAAAGATAAAACTTCATAATAAAAAGAAAAGAAAAAGAAATTACCTGATTCTTTCATGCTGATGGGACGATGGAGAATAGAGTTGCAAATTCATCGTCTCCTCCGTTTACATCCAATGTATATATAGCGGGAATCGGAAGTGAGTGTAGGGCCCACTCTGCATTTACGAGGAATGATAAATTAAAAGGCAAAATAAGGGATTGAATGATTGGATGACGGTGCTCTCTACTTTTAGTACCTTAGGTTGCAAGCTACTTCGATATCAAGCAATTCCATTCTACTCAGTGGTAAAAGTCCAACCAATTAAAAAATATCCAATCCCAATTATTCAGTAAATTTGCTGAATAGGTAAATATTTGTAATGTAATATTTCTTTTGTAATATTTTATGTTAACCGAATTAATATTTTTAGTTAATTCAAGTTATAAACTATGTAAGACTATCAATTTATTAACTAAAAATATTATTTCATCTAATACAAAATATTAAAAAAGGTATACAAGATTATGAAAATATTTGTATCAATTAAATTTAAAATTTTCACAAATATATGTATTTTTAATTAGGTTTTTAATAAATTTTTCTAAATTAAGTATATAAAATTTTATATATTTTATTAAGTTTTTATTATTTACTTTTTTTCCTCTGAATAATATAAATATTATTTTTTCGTCACATTATTTTATTTTCTTGTCTTCATTGAAAACTTTACGGTTAATATAAAACAATATTATAATAAAAGTATTTTATCATTTTATTAATCATAAAATTGTTATATTAATTATAAAATCTGACATTTTTTAATATATAAAAACAAAGAAATAAGATAAAATAATAGTCATATTATCTTATTAATGAAAACAAAAAGTGATATTAACTCAACTGTAAAAGTATAAAATTTTTAAATATCTAATAATCATAAAAATTAAAAAAAAAATAATTAAAAATATTTAAATTTATAAAGAATTTAAAGTTTAGTTAATTCAAAGATTTAAATATTTCATCATAATTTGCCGCACTTATCCAAATTTAAAAAACCTTCACCTGTACTAAACCTACAGACAAAAAAAAAATCAAATACTCACCATTTTCAGTTTTTCATGTCCTCATTTTCTATCAGTTTATCATGTTTCAAACACATACATTAATCCCATTAAGGATAGTGAAACTTCTATGGATATTAGTAATGTTGTGAAAAAAAGAAAAACAAAAAGAAGTTGCATTTAAATATCAAACTCTATTATTTCTTTCTCAACTTGGGTTAGATAAATTGCGATTGATGAAGAAGGACGAGGAGAACTAATTGAAAAACACAGAAGGTGAGTTTAATTATGAGGAAAGATTCTCATGCCCTGTTACATCTATCCAATGAGGGCATAATTCGGTGGGTGGGATAAACAAAAAAAAAAATCACCTTTTTAAGGATAAAAAATATTTCCTTCTCGAAAATATCTTGGATGAGGTGAAGTATGTAATTTTATTTCTTAGCACTAATCCAGATGGTTTTGACGGATGTTTTATATTTCTTTTATATATTGTTGGTGTTGATACTTGTGAAACAATTCTTTCAACTTGGATTATATATTATATGAATTTGAATATTATTTCTTTTATTTGTAAAGTTAACGAGGTAAACTGTTTTTCTTCGTATAAAAATTATTAATTTATGTTTCAAAATCATTACAAAAAAATTAGCTTATAGACTTGTGTAGCATTGTAGTCATTGTTAATAAAATTATTTTTTCTAATCAAAATGGTTTCATTATAGGAAAGAGTGTTAAAAATTATACTTATACTAGTTTCAGAGCTATTAATTTCTGGTCTAAGATTAAAAGTGGTAATGTAGTCATTAAGATTTATATAACAAAGATTTTTTATATTATTAATTGGTATTTTTTAATTCAAGTTGATGAAAGATTTTTTATATTATTAATTGGTATTTCTTAATTCAAGTTGATGCGTTGTTTTGGTTTTTATAAAGACCGTTTGACATGGGTTTTGCATATCTTGCAACCTGCTCATCTTTCTATCCGAATTAATGGTAGTTTGGTTGGTTTTTACTTGTGGTAAAAAGGATAGATAGGAGGATCCTCTCTCTCCTTTGTGATTTTGTTTTGCTAAGAAGGTATAAGGAGGTACATTTAGTTTATTTCTAAAAAGCATATGCTTCATATGGTTGGTTCTCGAATGATACAATTTCTTTCTCATACTTTCTATGGCGATTATATATTTGTTTAATTTAGAGGAGATACTAATATCCTGCAACATTTAAAATTTTTTTATGTGTTTTTATTTTATTTTTTCCAAGTAAGGAGAGAATCACCCATGAAGATACAAAAATTGAGAATGAATTTTCTATTGTCTAAACAATTTCCCTAATGAGCATCCAAATAAGCATTTCTCGAGAGATACAAATGTACTTGAGTCTTCCTCACTAGTACACTAAGAGGATACTGCACCGGTTACTTTTGCTTTTAGGCACCGGTTCTACAACCGAGGCATATACCGGCGAGGTAAAAAGGGATAGGTTTTATGTCTCGGTCGTGAACTGAGTTAAAAAGAATAGGATTTATGCCTCGGTTTTTACGTAACCGAGGCAGTAACTTGTTTTTTTTTTTTAAGCTTCAGGATGTTGTTGATGTTTGTTCTTATGCATCACCCATCTTCCACTGCCATCACCCATCTTCCACTGCCACCAGCATGATTTCCCACTTTCAGAGCTACCAACACAACAACGCAATTCCACATTTTCAGTGAAACAAGAATGATTCTCCACCAGAATGAAACTCCAATAAAAAATCCAATCAAAAGTGAAACAAGAATGAAACTCCAATCAAAAATCCAATCAAAACCTCAAGCAGAAACTCCAAAAATTGAAATCGGAACCCTAGACGAATCGGAACGACCACTGCGCCCGTCGCAAGAAAAGGAATGACCACTGCGCCCTTGCGTCTTCGCCGTAGTCCGTCCACAGATCGCTGCACCGGAGCAACGAAACCAGACCGGGCACCGCACCAGACTCGCCAATCAGGGCACCGCTGCTCCTGCTTCCGCTCTGTTCTTCGCCAACAGCCTCAGCTTCGCCGTCGCCGATCGCTTCACCGCCACCAACGAAGAATGCAGTCCGTCGACGCAGACCGGGAACCGCACCAGACTCGCCAATCAGGGCACCGCTGCTCCTGCGTCCGCTCTGTTCTTCGCCAACAGCCTCAGCTTCGCCGTCGCCGATCGCTTCACCACCACCAACGAAGAATGCAGTCCGTCGACGCAGATCTGCCCTCCGTGCGCCCATATCTGCCCTCCGTCACCGCTGCGTCGTCGTCGCCGCGTCTCATCGCCGCTGCGTTCTCGGTGTCGCGTCCTTGCTGCCGCCGTTGCGTCCACCGTCGTCGCACATCGCACATCGCGGAGGAAGGGAGCGAGGCGGAGAAGACGCAGAGAAGAGGCAGAGAAGAGGCAGAGAAGAAGAAGAGGAGAGGTGCTAATTCGGGGGAAATGAGCAGGGAAGCGTGATTTAAAGCCCAATATGCCTCGGGTGTATGCCAACCGAGGTCGATTTAGAGTCCAATATGCCTCGGGTTCATGCCAACCGAGGTCGTATCTTTGCTACGTGAGGATTATGCCTCGGTTCACTCTGATAACCGAATCAGTATTACTTTTAGACACCGGTTGCTTAACAACCGAGGCATATAATTCTTTTAAAATTACGAGACTGCCACCGCGTTTTGATATGCTTCGGTTCAGTAAAAACCGAGTCATAATGTACGAGTTAAAAACGTCATTTTTTACTAGTGCCTAGTGGTCGTCTATATGCAAAAGGATCGGACAATAAGTCAATATATGTTGAGTTCAATGTATATTGAAATCTATCGGGATAAGAACAGATTTGACATTGAGAAAGTCGGTATCTTGTAAGAAGTTAGATGATATACTTCCTTTGACATAGATGGGTGCCTTATTTGGACTTTGAAATTTCCACCCAAGGAATCTCGCATTAACTAGAAATAAGGTCAATTTATAGTATATAAGTGGATGCAAAACTCATCTTACAAGATGATTTTTTTCGATAACGACCTAATAACGTGGAACAATATATCCAACAAATAACAAATCTCTCACTAAATTAAGTTCTAAGAATAACTTTATGCATAACATTGAAGAAAATAAGTATTTATGATTATATAATATTAGGTTTTCATATTAAAAAGAAAATAAAATACATATAAAAATAATCCAAACTAAATCGTCAAAATTGATTTAATTACATTTCTTTAAATATTCAAACCAATTACATATGATTTTTATGTTTAATTCATATGACTTTTAACCAAAAATTAAACAAAACCACAATATGAATAGTGTAAATACCACCACCTCTTTTTTATTTTATACATGGTTGAAATTTTTACGTACTGACCCTACAAAGACATATAGATACCATCAAAATATCCATTATATATTTGTGTATATGGTTGGTTTTAAATAAAATATGAGATAAATGGTCAATTTCATGATTGTTATCTATTACAAAATAAATAAATAAAAATGTTTCAAAGTATATACGAAAATGAGTTGTTTCATTAAAATAATTATAGATAAAAATAAAAAAGAATTAAGAAAAGGAAAGCAACAACTAAAAGTGGCAAAGCATAGCGTGAATCTGCCTTTCGTTTATTAGGAAAACATACGGGTACAGAACAGAAAATTGAAACATAGAAGTAGGAAAAATAATATATAAATTCCTAAAATATTAAATGACACAAAAAAGAAAAAAAATTATGGTGCAATAGAAAAAAACATAAAAATGATAAGTATTTAGAAAAAAAAATATTGTATAACTATGCTCTATAAATAAACAACCCCAACCCAAACGTCACGTAACAAATAATTAAACACTTTATTTACTCTTTCGTCCCTCGCCAATGTCCAAAATTTGCTATAACAAAAGCATCAATTTTAATGAATCTCACTTGCTGCTCAGAAACTTAACTCCCCACCCAACTAACTGAATGAAAGTTCAGAGAAAGTTTCTACCATTTGTAATTATTAAAAACTTGTTCACCCTACATCATTTAGGTTGTGTTCGTTTGGGTAAATT